TTTGTTTTCTAGGTGAAGCACAAATCTGCAATAATTTCAATGCCAGTGGTTGTAGTTATAGTGCTGGTAGGCTTCTTCATGGGGGCTCACTTTGTTTCAGTGCACACGCCAAAAACAATGTTCCCCTACAGGCGGTACCCTAAAATCTTCCACCCCAATAAACTTTCCTCATCTATAACGCTACCTGTCTACTCATCCTTCTTTATAACTAGTAAAATTTATCACGTCTACTAACTGGTTTTACACAGGGTTTGTGTCACTCCACATAGGTATTTTGTAACACCCCAACCTACAGTCAGCACTCACAGTTCCCATCAGAGTACAAAACTCTTACTTAATTAAATCACCAACGGTTTCTTGATAGGGCCTTTCACAACACTACCTTTACACCTCCTGAAGGACAAACCCCTAGGAATCACCTCAGGGTATTTTACATTTTAAAGAGACTTATCATTTGATTTTTCTGCACCTCACCCACCCACTTCTCCTAGCTTAAATACTCTGTCCCTGTCATAAATTTTCCTTCAGTACGCCAGAATTGACAAGGCCATACAAGCAATCATTCATTCCGGGAAGGCTGCCTGGTTATGTAAATCAAACTTTAGTAACACGTGTAAATTACTACCCATTCTTCAGTCAATCTGGCATCTGCATGGAGTTAAGTGGGAAGACAGCCACTATTTCATTACCAGACCAACATTCGCCTTCATATGTAGCCCAAGTTATGCGATATCTTCGTTGAAACCCTAAACCTGGCTCCTACGGAACGTATGCAGATGTCTTACACTACTTAGACAACTTCCTCACCATTGAAAGACACCAAAGCACGCCACACAGCCTGAATCACATGTTCACTCTGTTCAAAGATTAGGAGTACCCATAGCTCGGACAAAACACAGAGATCACATTCCCGGGGTTTACACTCAGTTCTATTTCTATGCAGGCCAACCTGCCACAAGTGTAAGTAGATAGAATTCTTTTACATCAACATCTGCACGTCACAAGACTCTTGCACCAGGAATCCGCTACAGTCACTACCCGGTTCACTCAATTTTGCGGGGAGAATAATTCCACAAGGTAAGTCTTTATTTCCAGAATCCTCTTTCTTGCATGGTCTCCCTGTTGACGACTCCACAGCTCTCTTAGACAAACCAGCTAGAGATGATATTAAGAAGGTGGCATCTGTTCCTGTCCTCTTGGAATGGCAGGTCACTACTTGTTCCCCCTGTTTCCGATAATTCCCCTATGGTCCGGACTAACGCATCAGGTGCCGTAGATTATGCAGCAATTTTTGGTTACAAATGGGTACACGTCTCTTGGCCAATTGAGTCTACCTCGCAAGTAAATTTCAAGACCACCTCAGCACTATTTGAATCTACCCAATCGTAGCAGCTACACATATATATGGGGCAAAGAGTGGAGAGGGCAGTCGGTCAGATGCTTTTCTAATATCTTGGCGACATATAATATCGTTAACAAAGGCCGCTCTCAGTCCCTCTCGATTATTAACTTGGTAAGGAGTCTTACCTGGCTAGCGGCAAATCTTCAATTCTGCATAATTTATGTTCACATTCTAGGTATTAAGGTTAACGTAGCTGACGCTCTCCCACACTCTAATTTGCAGGAATTTTTCGGAGGTCATCCATCAGCAAACTCGCAGCCCAAGGAGCCTCCAAGCTTCACAGTCCTAATTATGAGTTAAATACTCTGTTGCTCCATAGTAGGTCGCTCTCACAGGCTGATTTATACCTTAATTTAAGAAAGCATATTCCAAGAGCGAATCAGTTGTTTAAATATTTGTTTGTGTTTATTGTGTGATAAATGTTTCTATTTGTAAATATGGTCGCATTTACAAATTTGCCACTTTTCTCCTAAATTAGTTTACAATGCTATCAAACCTTACTTCACAGGGATAAACATTTGTCTATTACTCATACCAAAATGAGCCATACTGGTCCTCCAGTAGAGATGAAATATTATCCTACCTCTACCAAATCAAGTCCTATCCACGTTTTGGATAATCTTTTGGAATCTCAACTCACTTCCATCCCTGATTCCCCACTAGTAGCTTTTCAAGGGAAACCCTTAACCAATAAACGTTTTATGCTTTACATTCGTACGATATCACTCTGACTAGGACATAACCCTCATTCCTTCTCTGGCTTTTTATTCCGCATTGGAGCAGCCACAGCTGCCTCCGGTAATCATGTACCAACTCACATCATTAAAATATGGGTCGGGGGAAATCATCCGCATACAACAAATACATCCCCAATCCTGAGAAAGAAATAAGATTGGCTTTCTGTGAAATGTCTAAATAATGATCTGCTGAATAAATGTATCTGACTTGTAAGAATCGCTTCTTATATTTTTGCCCTCTTTCACAGGTCTAACCTCACGTCAGTTTTGGCACACATCAACTGACTTTGCTCTTACTACTATTGCTTCCTTATTATTGTTCCATACGTCCTCGAAATGTGCCGTACACAAATAGAAGGCTTGGCCTGTAATTGTGGGAGGTACATGGAACCCTACTTAAACCCAGTGAGCCCCTGCTTACATGTCGTCGACGATCTTGGAAGTGCCCCTCCCACTGCACCCTCTATTTATTCTCATATCACCTAGGTGGGCCCTCTTTTACAGGTCTAACCTCACGTCAGTTTCGGCACACCTCCACTGACTTTGCTCTTACTACTATTGCTTCCTTATTATTGTTCCTTACATCCTCAAAATGTGCCGTACACAAATATATATATATACATATATATATATATATATTAAAAAAAAAAAAAAAAAAATAGTTCCTGCACTCATGCTAATACATCCTTAGGTGACCGGGTGCCAGCCCTATGTAGCTAGTGTATCCAGAAAAAACAAGTAGATGGCTGCACTCACGGTTCTGTGTAAAAGTCCAAAGTTTATTGAAGATACATAAAATAACTTGCGATCAACGTTTCAGTCCTTCTAAGAGGACTTTCTTCAGGATCATAAAAGCAAGTATCAAACATACAGCGTTTTTATATAAGACATAATTAGTTAGATTAAAAAATTAAGTGAATAAGCTTACCCCAGGTGAACATTGACGTCTGACTGGCGTCCCTGTATCTCCAATGATATAGTCTGAGATATTGTGAGTAGTGATTCAGCACACTATATAATTAGTGTAATTACATTAGTTAACAGTGTAGTGTTCAACTTTTTATATATACTGTTTTGCAGATTTTCAATATTGTTTAAATCTATAACATATATATCTCAGATTGATTTTTAATGTGTATATCAATAAGTGTGGCTTTTTTGTAGAATACGTATATGGTTAGTCTTTCATTAATATTTAAAGATTATGCATTGCTCATAATATATTTGCAGTATATATTTAGTATTTTCATCACTTTGTCACTTTCAAAGCACTATTTAGCACTTTTTTAACACAGTTGTCACTTTAAACTCAGTATTCATATGCTATATAAGTACTTCTTCACTAATCTCATTTGGTGCTATAACGGAAGTTTACTTCAACACTTCACTTTTATATTGCACTTTATATTAATTCATGTTTTATTTATCTATTTAATGACATTTAGCTACATCATTGCATTGTAGGATAATCATTAATTATTCCCTACAGTAATACCACTATTTTGCTTTTTCACTTAATGGAATACACAATGTATAACAGTTATCAGCCATACTGATTACTTCAATCACGGTGCCTTTACAAACACTTATGCTTCATATGTCCGTTTTACTTTATTTCCATAGCGTCGTTTTGCATGCTTGCGTCGCTATGGTAACGGACGTCACTATGTTGGGCGGAACATACTTGCACATGCGCACTGGAGATACAGGGACGCCAGTCAGACGTCAATGTTCACCTGGGGTAAGCTTATTCACTTAATTTTTTAATCTAACTAATTATGTCTTATATAAAAACGCTGTATGTTTGATACTTGCTTTTATGATCCTGAAGAAAGTCCTCTTAGAAGGACTGAAACGTTGATCGCAAGTTATTTTATGTATCTTCAATAAACTTTGGACTTTTACACAGAACCTTGAGTGCAGCCATCTACTTGTTTTTTTTATATATATATATATATATATATATATATATGTATATGTATATAATAGTTTGTACCTTTATTTGGATATCTATTATATAGGGGATGAATGTTCCTATATGCATGTGGTAGCTGTTATTATTGTATTTAGTTACATAGTTACATAGCTGAAAAGAGACTTGCGTCCATCAAGTTCAGCCTACCTCACATTTGTTTTTTTGCTGTTGATCCAAAAGAAGGCAAAAAAAAACCAGTTTGAAGCACAATTTTGCAACAAGCTAGGAAAAAAATTCCTTCTTGACCCCAGAATGGCAGTCAGATTTATCCTTGGATCAAGCAGTTATTACCCTACATTGAAAGATTATATCCTTGAATATTCTGTTCTTGCAAGTATGCATCTAGTAGTCGTTTGAACATCTGTATGGACTCTGATAAAATCACTTCCTCAGGCAGAGAATTCCACCTTCTGATTGTTCTTACAGTAAAAAAACCTTTCCTTTGCCTTAGACTAAATCTTCTTTCTTCCAGTCTAAACTCATGGCCTCGTGTCCTATGTAAAGTCCGGTTTGTGAATAGATTTCCACACAATGGTTTGTATTGGCCGAATATATTTGTATAATGTTATCATATCCCCTCTCAGGCGACGTTTTTCTAAACTAAATAGGTTTAAATTTGTTAACCTTTCTTCATAGCTGATATGTTCCATTCCTTTTATTAATTTTGTAGCCCGCCTCTGCACTTTTTCTAGTGCCATAATATCCTTCTTTAGAACAGGTGCCCAAAATTGCACAGCATATTCAATATGGGGTCTTACCAGTGATTTATAAAGAGGCAAAATTATATTCTTGTCCCGAGAATGAATGCCCTTTTTCATGCATGACAATACCTTACTGGCCTTGGCCACTGCTGATTGACATTGCACATTGTTGCATAGTTTGTTGTCTATAACAATTCCCAAGTCCTTTTCATGTGTTGTTATCCCTAATTCGCTTCCATTAAGGGTATACGTTGCTTGTGTATTCTTTACGCCGAAGTGCATAACTTTGCATTTTTCAACATTAAATTTCATCTGCCATTTGAGTGCCCAGTCCCCCAGTCTATCTAAATCCCTCTGCAGCAAAGTAATATCTTGCTCACATTGTATTGTTTTACAAAGTTTGGTGTCATCTGCAAACACTGAAACATGACTTTCAATGCGGTCTTCAAGATCATTTATAAACATGTTAAATAGAAGGGGTCCCAGAACAGACCCCTGAGGGACACCACTTGCCACCTCTGTCCAGCTTGAAAATTTACCATTAATGACAACTCTTTGTACTCTGTTTTTAAGCCAATGTTCTACCCAAGAACAAGCATTTTCATCTAGACCGATTTCCTTGAGTTTGAACACTAATCTATTGTGTGGAACTGTATCAAATGCCTTGGCAAAATCCAAATAGATCACATCCACGGCAACACCCTGATCTATACTTCTACTTACTTCTTCGTAGAACGCAATCAAGTTAGTTTGACATGACCTGTGCTTCATAAAACCATGCTGATTTTTGCTGATAACCATGTTCTTCTCAAGGAATTCTTGAATATTATCCCTTAATAACCTTTCAAATATTTTAGCAGCCACAGAAGTTAAGCTCACAGGTCTATAATTTCCAGGCAAGGATTTTGAACCCTTTTTGAATATAGGAACCACATCTGCCTTCCTCCAATCCTCCGGAACACTTCCTGAAAGAAAAGAATCTTGAAAGATTAAAAACAGAGGTTCACTTATTTCTGCACTTAGTTCCTTAAGTACACGTGGATGGATACCGTCAGGCCCTGGAGCTTTGTTTATATTAACTTTCTTTAGTTGCTGCAGCACCTTGTCTTGAGTTAACCAATTACAATTATTCTGCAAGTTTTTAGTAGCAATCATTTGCACATCTATTGCCATGGGTTCTTCCTTAATATATACGGAGGAGAAATAGTTATTTAAAATTCCTGCCTTTTCCTGGTCTTCATTAACTAACACCCCCGTTTCAGTTTTTAGTGTACCTACACTTTCATTTTGTTTTTTTTTAGAATTTATGTACTTAAAAAATGCTTTGGGGTTGGTTTTGCTCTCTTCAGCTATCATTATTTCATTTTGAAGTTTAGCAAGTCTAATTGCCTTTTTGCACGCATTATTTGCATCCTTATATCTTTTATAAGATGCATCTGATTTGTCCGATTTAAATGCTTTAAATGCCCTTCTCTTAGTTGTATCTAACTAATTATTTGTTTTATATTAAATCAGAACAGAAGCGCCTTTAGAGCACACAGCACTTTGCATTCTGGGGCATATATGAGTCTGTTGGTCTCAGTGATGGTGCAGGCTGGGATTGTGGACAATGCTTCATTAACTGCAGCTAGTGGTAATTTTCCAGTGATCTTTGATAATCTTGTCCACTGGTCAGCAACTTCTAGCCTTTCTAGGATTATATTTTTTATATCTGTTGTTATGCCCTCTTTAGGTGGGAATTCAGGTTGACAACCCTCTGCAAGTATGGATGTGGGTATAGGGTTTTATTCTTCCTCGTGGCACATGGTTGAAGTTTACAGTAGTTCATCTAATTCCAGCTGTGACACTAGCTTCCTTTTGACGATGTTCAAACATTGTGTAACGAGCTGTTTTGGTGTTAGGGTAGACAATGGTCTCTTCCTCATAGTTCCCACACGAGTTTCATGTAGCTCATCGAATCTGCTGTTATAGTAGCAATTAAGCATCCAGGAATGCTTTGTTCTAGTAGCCCACTCATATTATAATTTATTCTGGACTACAATTTCATGTTAATTTAAGGTCCCGCTATTTATTGCTAAAAATAATATACATTATGCTATTGCCTCCCTACTCCCATCCCAGATTAAAAATATATAATTTATAAAATGTTTAGAATAACGGTTCTCAAACTGTGTGCCGCAGTGCCATGCCTCGCTCTCCCCTGCCAGATCTACACTGAAATGCTGCAGCTGGCAGGGGAAGAATAGAGGACCGGGGGAGATTAAACCTGATGCTCTGCTGGGTTTTCCTTTCGCGAGCTCGGAGTGTTGCCACGGTTACCATGGCATTTCTCTGAACCTCGCTAGAGTGAACTCTAGCTTCAGGAGCTGATACTGTTCACTCTCACCACTTGGACCACCAGGGCTTTTCCACCAGACCACCAGGGTTTAGTACTGTCCTCTCTCCAAGGTAACAATAAGAAGGGAGTGTAAGGAAACCAAGTATATTTAAACCTCATTCGGTAGTTTCCTCCTGAACCGCCAGAGCATCAGTGATTATAACTCTCCCTTCGGTAGATAAAGTAGAAGAACTGTACAGTAATCGCAATAGCTTCATAAGATAATTCCCTTAGTGAAGCACACGAATTCCCAAACATCAGACAAAGTCAAGAAGAAGGGTACAACTGAACTGAGCTTTAATGATTGCACACAGGCTTTTAAGCAAGTCCTCATGTAAGGGGACATCTCACAGGTAGGGACAGAGATTAACCAATCGGGCACAGTAAAAACATAACACACACCCCCAATTCCCTCCCCTAGCCCTGGATATAATCAAGTCTGATAAAGTAATAACTTGATTATCTCCAGGCAGAAAAATCTAATTTTTCCCCAATATCTGGAACACCCCTTTATACCTGAGGTATCCCCACAAATAATATGTCCCCTGATAGCCCCGATCTGGGTGACCAACATATTCAAATTTCACCCAGATCGGTTCAGGGGTTCTCAAAAACTGTGGATGTCTTCTGTGACCAGCTCACCGTGGGATGGCTGCCCAAAACAGTTCCATGAGTTTGGTGGGTTTTGACGGTCACTTCAGTAAAAGGGAAAAAGCGAATAAAGTACCTAATGGATCCCCCTGGCTCTCAGCAGCGATTGCTCCCCTCTGTCAAATGCACCAAAGTACCGAATAGCGTTTTTCTAGCTATTCGGGAATTAGAGTTACAGAGTTCGTCTGTTTGAGACCGGTGTTCGGGAAGTTGAGTGTCCGATTTTAGTTCCAGACACTCGACGACCAAGTCCCGCTGCCTTTGTTCGGCTGAAAAAAGATGGCCGCGGTTTTCTCAGCCACATGGTGTTCGGTAGTACGAAGGCTGGCCGCACAGATAGAGGGGTTGATTGATAATTTCTTTGAAGCTTAATGATCCGGGGGGTGGTCTTTGTTCTGTAATTAAATCTACCGAATGAATAAAGGTAAAATTAGGGGAATAACTAGTGAGTAAATAGGGATTTCTTCACAGGGAGGGTGGGTATCAATTATTTATTTATTTTTATTTAAAAAGTATATATATTTATTAATCTGCCATCCTACCCCCACAGACCCACAATAACTCCCCCTATACACACTCAGTGCCCCCCCCCCCATACACATACACTGAATCAGTCAAACACACTGCCCCTCCACACACACTGACCCCACACACGCACTGTACTCACAAATGCTGCCCCCACATCCTTACACAATGAACTCCTGTCCAAAAATAAAATCTTTCAACCAATGATTCATAAAACGTTTCCCACGGCTTGATGTATATTTACTACCCATCACAGTGCCATATTTTTGTAAACAAAAATGGAACCAAACCATAAGTAATGACTATTCATGTCCACTTTGTGTATTTAGTAATAAACTCTTGTAGTTTATTTTAACTTGGCATATGTTCTAAACAAACACTGCCTCACATCTATTTTCTTGAAACCAGGAAGTATATAGGGATATTATATCACACACAATTGACGTATAGGTTTATTTCTATTTGTTACCTTTAAAATTTATAAAATATTCATTCTCTTTTTAAAATAGATCTATACATTGTGACACTTTTGTATTGAAGCCTATTCTTTACCATGCAAAGTGATTCCCTGACATAGAAAAATGGTGGTAAATGCTAGTGGCAATATTAATTAATGTATTACATAGTAAAAAAAGTTATATATTACATCATAACATTTGTATTGTAATTGCTGTACTTTTTTGACAAACTCTAAATTTACCAATATATGTTTCTCTCTTTTTATAAACTTATCTAAAACAATGTTGCAAGCAAAAAATGAAAGATGCTAATAAAATAATGTCTCATATATCAGTTCTCATAAATTAAACAGTCTTCTTCTAAACTTAAGACTCAACATTTTCAACTGCATCTAACTATTGGCAAAGTAGAAATTGATCCCTAATAAGTATGCCCTTACCTCTCCAGGCTTGCACTGGTGAGTAAATTTTAATGCCTCTAGATTGAATGCTTTTTCGAGCAGGGTTTTCATTAACATATTGTTCCTCTAACAATTTGTAATTGTCTAATTTATTGTTAAATAGCTAACTTTATAATATTTTAAAGTGCTGTGGAATAAACTGCCACTCGATAACAGCAAACAATGATAACAACAATAAGTCATGGCCAGTTCAGACCAAAGACACAAGGTACTATGACTTCTCAAAACCTGAAAACCATTAACATGTATAGGATGGAATAATAGTAAGTTGCCAGCACTCTCATTGGATGTTTTATCAGCTCCTTAGGATTTAATTTTACCTTTATGATGATGATAATTAAATAACCTTCCTTCCCCAAATCATCTATCTGGATCATGTTACTTAATTCATCCTTCTGTCTCTAATTTGATTAACTTCCATTTCATTAAACTCATTCTTTCAAAAAAACATATATGTCACTCTGCAACATTACTGTTACAAATAATTTTTACTTTCATTATTTAACATTTATATTGGTTGAAAATAAACAAAATTGTATGAATAGATTGTAATGGTATTGCACCCATTTCAACTATTTTCAATCATAAACCTTTTATTTTCTGGATTGGCTTAATTTTGTAATTTGTGTCCATGTTTTCCTTTCTTTGCTTAAATATAAAATTGTTTGTTGTATGGAATTAGCCCATAACCAAGATGGAAGTTATGACTATTTTCAGCTAATTCCTGACTGGTTAATTAATTCATCGATTCACTAATTGTATCTGTTGCTTCCCTTTGTAAACCCTTGATGAGGTAGATGTCTCTGAGGAAGAGCTTTGGCATCTTTCTTTTTTGAACCCTGCTGATTTTTCATATACATGACTAAAGAAGAAGTGCTGATTGAAAACTTTCTATTTCAGTGCAGTTGCAGAGGGCACGCAGCCCCCCCACAGACACTAGAAGTGCATATTACTCTTAGTGCCAAGCTTGGTAAAGGCCCTGAGAAATGTGGGAGCTATCAACCTATTTTACTCTTTTACCCCTTATTGTCGTTATGGCATTCTATACTGTCATGC